TTCATCATCCACTTTAGCACACGTCATTGATTCTCGTGAGTTTCTTCCTTGTCTTCCACGCCATTCTTTGAAGGATATGTATCTTGATCTCAGCCACAACTTTGTCACCAGCATGGTTGTAATTGTCAAAGAACTTTCTGTTCCTTTCCCTCCATATATGGTATACCGTAGCCGATATACTAAGTTTTTGAACCGTAGACCATAATTTCCACCTTTGTGATAATCCCATATTAAGGATATCCTCCCATTTGTTCGGACAATTCTTTATCCCGACTTCCTTTTTAATTACCTCCCAAATACTACTCGAGTAGATGCATTCAAAAAATAAGTGATTGTGTGTATCAATCACTAAATTACAGAAAACACATTTCAAATCAGGAGGTTCGTGCTTCCACTGGCTAATGCGATCTTGGGTTGGTAAACGACTCTGACATGCCATCCACATGCGAAGAGCATGTTTAGGTATGTATGCTTTATTCCATACCACCTTGTATCAATGCACAATCGGCCCTACTTCTTGTAAAGTTTGCCACGCCACCTTCACCTCAAAATGTTTCCGATTATGTTTAGTGTCAAGCCATCTAACCGTATCCTCTAGATGACTGGGAGATGGTATCTTAATATTTTGCAGCTGGGGATATCGTTGAATCCATTGAACTGGCCAATCATTACCAAACCGTTGCATTGGGTCATATACCGTAGAGTTATTATGAAAGTCATGACCATTTATGAATCTGTAAGACAGCAAGTGAATAAGGGGACCAAAATCACTCCACGTGTCTTCCCATGCGTGCGTGGATATACCATTACCCACATTAACAATGAAAAAACGTCTGCAATGAGGTCTTAACTCTAAAAGGTTCCGGACAAGCCATGACCATTCATTCCGCTTCTTGATGATCCAAAAATTTCTTCCCCGAATACAATGAGAATGAATCCAAGAGACCCACATGGTTTTTCTTCTAGTAAGAATATCCCAAATATGTTTAAAAAGCAAACACCGATTCCAAAGAGCTAGTCTTTTCATGCCAAGTCCTCCATTTTTTAAAGGTAAGCAAACCCTATCCCAATATACTCGACATTTTCCCAGCTCACCCTTCGCTTTATTCCATAAAAAATTACGGAACAACTGTTCAATTTCATGGATTGTGGCTGCTGGTACTAGAAATACCGACATCCAAAACGTTTGCATAGTGTGAAGAACAGAGATGATGAGCTGTTGTCTACCCCCATAAGAAAGAAATTTGTTTTTCCAATTCAACAAGCGAGATTTAAGCTTAATCACAAGAGGGTTGAAATCACGTACCTTCAATCTAACTGGAGAGAGAGGAACTCCAAGGTAGCGAATAGGAAATACCCCGGACGATAAGGAAGGCAGTTGCGAATGATATTTTGAACATCCAACCTCACATTCCCGAAAAACACTTTAATTGGCCCATTTCTTCGTAACGAGTTAATTGAGTCAAAATGACACTAAATGGGTCATAGTTTGTGTAACTACATGTTAATATGACTAATTGAGATATAATGGGTCTTAAGTCTCCTTATGGGTCCATCTACACTTATTGGGATATTGGTTCCTATTTGGTGTAATCGAGTCATTTGGGTCAAAATGACAATAAATGTATCATAATTAGTCTGATTACACCCTATTAGGTTAATAGGGCTCATTTATCCATAAGGATTCTAATTGGCT